CCAATGCATAGACATGAATATAAACATACTGTAAATTTAAACACACAAAACTTCTTAAAAGTGCACTTGTGCTTCAATCATCCATGACACCAGTGCTAAACACATCAAATAGTCCCAAATAGTCCAAACCTCCAAACCAAATCACCACATGACAGGTGCACCACTTCCCTGGCACTCACGATTCCTGTTGCTTTGCTGTAAACATGATAAGCAATAGAGCTTGTAATGAAAACCTTGGTCTCCAATGGGTCTTCATTTCTTGCACCCTCTCTCCTCTTTATAGGCTCCACAAATAACTGGCGGCAAAAGAAAGAAAGACAGATTGTGTAAATGTTTACACTCAATTGTTTTCTCAGTATCAGTCAAAATGCCACTCACAAGCATGCAGTTAAAAACAGCCCATCAATTCTCATACAAGCGCCAATAAACCTGTCAGTGTGCCAAACCCTTTGAAACAGTCAGCAGACGAAACAGGTTAGGGACAGACTGCATGGCAACCAGAAGTGACGACAGACTCCCACTGAAAGTGACATATCGCTGAGAGCAAGAGAGGGGACCGGGTGAGAGAGTGTACATGCAGCATACTGACGAGTTTACTGGCACTTCTGTGTGAAAATTGATGGGCTCTTTATACCTTCATGCTTGTGAGTGGCATTTTAACTGAGACAGAAATAAAATCTGGTCCGATCCAGTCAGACAGAGGGGAACAGATCCTCTTCCATTTGTTTTTGCAAGTAGCCTGGTGTAAACGCAAGTTTGTTTACATCCGACTGCCTATAGAGGAGAACAGAGGGTCAGGTCAGGTCTGCCTAAAAAACTAACTGCTCGAGTGAAGGAAGCCTTAGAGCATCCAAACACAAAATAAGGACAATGAAAGGAAAAAAAACTTGTGCCTTTTTACATTTTTTGTTTTTCAGTTCCATAGTTATTGGGCATAATTATTAAGTTAGTAGGACTGAAAAAGATAGGGGTATTACGTTCACCAAAAACTTGCCTTTCCACAAGTTATTTTAAAACACAGATGACAATTTAGGTAATAGTGATCTTAGTGTAATCACATTTGCCATAAGTTACAGGGAAAATAGCATGTTGCTATGCCAAGAACTCTATCTTTCAAAAACGCTAACTTCAATAAGCTCTGATGCTTTTTGTACGACACAAAGGCAAAAAAAGTATTTTAAAAATGATCAAGTGCATTAACCATTGTATTCCATTGATTAAGAAGTATAAACAAGCAAAATTAAAACATATCTGGCTCAATTCTACTGTAAATAAATGAAAAAGAAAACACGCCTTTAAAAGTACAATCTTGCCATTGCTTATTTACAAGGCAGCTAACACAGAATAAAAATTTACAATCAGCGCAACTAACACAGAATACAGGTGTAGGACTAGCCCCTTGCATTTAGGAGGCAGTAACCAGTCCTTGTGCTTGTATTGAAATTTTACTAGGGGATTTAGAACTTGGATGGGGTGAAGGGTGTATGGGATTCCCAAGGGAACTGAGAAACCGAGGACAACTTCCTGAACTATGTACAAGTGGTTAGAGCAAACAGTCTTTTCTGGAGAGCTAGCCAGCATCTCCTGTAGTACCAACCCAAACCTCAAATGCTCCTCTATATAGCTGCCTGGAGGAATCCCTGGACAGGGGATCAAGTGTCTGCCACATAAATGGTGAAACAATCCTGGGTGGTAGGCTATTCCAGTTTCCCACTAGAGCGCCTCTTTCCCCTATCTTGCCCAGGGGGTGCATGTGTACTCACTCAGTCCTTCTCCTGTGCTGTTTGTGGGTTAGTGGCTGCTACCAGGCCTTTTAGTTGAGCCTCTTCTTCCCTGCCTCACAGGTGGTCCTCTCTCAGGGTGCAGGTGAAGTCCCAACTTTCAGCCTTCCCTAGATCCTCCTGCCTACAGCTGAGCCCCTCTCCCATCTGGGCCCCCTCGCAGGTTCCTGCCCCTTCACCTCACATCCTCCTCTTCCACCCAAACTCTCCCACAGCTGAGCAGGCTCGCTTACTCTTAAAGGCTGTCCTGACCCCTTGGCAAAAGGATTAGGATGTATACCAGGAAACTACAGACCAGTCAGCCTAACATCAATAGTATGTAGGGTATGTTAGGGAATGATAAGAAACTATCTACAGATATTAGTCTGTAAAAAATGTATCATAAGTGACAACCAACATAGATTTACATATATTTACAACCTGTTATTGGTCTAGGAGGAAATAAGTGGGAAATTGAATGGTGAAAGTCCAGTAGATGTAGCATATCTAGATTTTGCTAAGGCATTTCATACTGTACCTCATACAGTGGGAAAAATAATTATTTGATCCCCTGCAGATTTTGTAAGTTTGCCCACTTACCTATGATAAAAACTTATATACCCTTAACGTCTTTGTATTTTAAATCATAGAGACAGAATATCAACCAAAAATCCAAAAAACACATGATACAAATGTAATAAATTGAGTTGCAGTTCAGTGAGTAAAATAAATATTTTATCCCCCTACCCACCAACAATAATTCTAGATTCCACAGACTGGCTAAATGCTCATGTGGTACACAGATTAGTCCTGCTAATTTAACCACTTCCCATCCGGCCCATGTCCGGCCAGACAGGAGCACTGCTGAATCGGGTTGACGTTTCTAAACATCATCCACATTCACTGCCTGTGCACGCTCCCTGGGAGTGCGTGGCACCATGATCCAGAACACCAATCGCTGTACAGGACCTCTGTGTTAGGTCCCGATTCATGTGATCACTGATTGAACAATCAGTGATCACATCAGCAGTAGTAAACAAGGTGTCACTTCCTGACATCATTGCTTACTACTTGTGAAATCTGTGAATGCTCACAGAGGTCACATGGTACAAGGCTATTCACAACAGCCTTGTACCATGTGCCAAGTTGTGACCAATCACAGCTCTCACAGTATTTCTCAATGGCTGCAGGAATGCAGCCAGAGAAAAAGAGAAATTATTGCTTTTACAGCCTTTATGGGTGTAAAAGCAAATAGTGTAAAAAAAAGAAAAAAAAAATCACCCCCCACAAGTAGTACAGTGGTACTATGGTGAAACTGTACTGCTTGGGTGACAGTATGTTAAAAATAAATAAAACGTAATTAATTTTAAATAAATTAACTAAAAATGTAAAAAGAAATTGAAAAAAAATTATAATTTTTGGTTATAAATTAATTTAGGTTATTATTTTTTTTTTTTACTAAAAAGATAGATGAATACATTTTGGTCAAGATTTATGAAGAAAGATTATTTATTTGCAAAAAAAAAAAACACTTTTTTTCAAAATATTTGGACTTTTTCATTTATATAGCAAAAAAATACAAATCCCAGTTTTATCTGTCTCCAAAAAATGTCAAAAAATTCATATGGGTACAGCGTTGCATGACCGCGCAATTGTCATTCAAAGTGTGATAGCATTGAAAGCTGAAAATGGGCCTGGGCAGGAAGGGGGTGAAAATGTCTGGACTTGAAGTGGTTAAGAAGGTGCTCCTAATGACAACTTGATATGTGTATAAAAGACACCTGTCCACAAAATCTTTCTTCCATTCAAACCTCACCATCATCATGGACAAGACCAAAGGGCTGTCAAAGGATGTCAGGGGCAAATTGTAGACCTGTACAAGGCTGGAATGGGCTACAAGACCATCATCAAGGAGCTTGGTGAGAAGGGGTCAACTGTTGGAGCGATTATTTGCAAATAGAAGAGATACAAAATAACCATCAATCGCCCTTGATCTGGAGCTCCATGCAAGAGTTCACCTCATGGGGTAAGGATGATCATGGAAAAAGTGAGGGATCAGCCCAGAACTACACAGGAGGAGCTTGTGAATGATCTCAAGGCAGTTAGGACTAAAGTCACCAAACAAACCACTGGTAACACCATATGCCTCCATGGATTGAAATCCTGCAGCGCCCTCTCCTCAAGAAGGCACATGTACAGGCCCGTATGAAGTTTGCCAAGGAACATCTAAATGATTCAGAGAAGGATTGAGAGAAAGTGCTGTAGTCATATGAGACCAAAATTGAATTCTTTGGCATTAATTCAATTCAATTTAATGTTTGGAGGAAAAACAATACTGACTATCCTTACAGTCAAGCACAGAGGTAGAAACATTAGGTTTGGGGCTGTTTCTCTGCTAAAAGTGCAGGCCAACTTTGCCGCATTGAGGGGCCAATGGATGGGGCCATGTATTGTAAAATCTTGGATGAAAACCTTCTTCCCTCCACCAGAACACTGAAGATGGGTCATAGATGGTGTCAGGACTCCGGGTATGACCAGAGGTGTGTGGACCGACACAGGGAAACACAGACTTCAGGTATAGCGTGTAAAACAATATAATTTATTAAGGGCAACACAAACATAAACGCAGTGCAACAAACCAAACCCAAAACTAACACAAATACGTACAACAAGGTGCAACAAATCCAGCTGGCCAGCCCTGGTACTGCAGCCCACAAGGCAGGTGAGTCCCACCACCATTGGTGAACATTGGTGCCAATCCATTCCTGACAGTAGCCCCCCCCCCCTCAAGGAGCAGCTAGGCAGCAGGTAGAGGCACATTGGGCTGGGCAGCAGGCAGAGGCACATCGGGCTGGGCAGCGAGCAGAGGCACATTGGGCTGGGCAGCAGGCAGAGGCACATCAGGCTGGACAGCGGGCCGAGGCACATCGGGCTGGGCAGCGGGCCGAGGCAAACCGGGCTAGGCAGCGGGCAGAAGCACATCGGGCTGGGCAGCAGGCAGAGGCACATCGGGCTGGGCAGCAGGCAGAGGCACATCAGGTGGAGCAGCAGGCACCGGGTTATCAGGCGGAGCAGCGGGCACCGGGCCATCAGGCGGCGCAGCGGGCAACGGGCCATCAGGCGAGGCACCGGGCCATCAGACGAGGCAGCAGGCACCGAGGCATCAAGCTCGACAGCGGGCACCGAGTCATCTGGCACGACAGCAGGCACTGAGTCATCTGGCATGACAGCGAGCACCGAGTCATCTGGCACGACAGCGGGCACCGGGTCATCTGGCACGACAGCGGGCACCAAGTCATCTGGGCAGAATAATGGGCACCGAGTCATCTGGCAGAATAGCGGGCACCGGGTCACCAAGCTCGACAGCGGGCACCGAGTCATCGGGCACGACAGCAGGCACCGAGTCATCTGACAAAATAGCAGGCACTGAGTCATCTGGCAGAATAGCGGGCACCGGGTCACCAAGCTCGACAGCGGGCACCGAGTCATCTGGCACGACAGCGGGCACCGAGTCATCTGGCAGAATAGCGGGCACTGGGTCACCAAGCTCGACAGCGGGCACCGAGTCATCTGGCACGACAGCGGGCACCGAGTCATCTGGCAGGACAGAGGGCACCGAGTCATCAGATAGGACAGACAAGACAGCGGGCACCGGGGCGTCAGGCTGGACCGCGGGCTCCGGGCCATCAGGCTGGATCGGGTCATCAGGCTGGATCGGGTCATCTGGCTGGATCGGGTCATCTGGCTGGATCGGGTCATCTGGCTGGATCGGGTCATCAGGCTGGATCGGGTCATCTGGTTGGATCGGGTCATCAGGCTGGATCGGGTCATCAGGCTGGATCGGGTCATCAGGCTGGATCAGTTCATCAGGCTGGATCGGATCATCAGGCTGAATCGGATCATCAGGCTGAATCGGATCATCAGGCTGGATCGGATCATCTGGCTGAATCGGATCATCAGGCTGGATCGGTTCATCAGGCTGGATCGGGTCATCAGGCCGGGTAGGATCATCAGGCCGGGTAGGATCATCAGGCCAGGTAGGATCATCAGGCTGGGTAGGATCATCAGGCTGGGTAGCGTACACTGGGTCATCAGGCATCCGGGCATCAGGCTGAACAGCGGGCACAGTGGCACCAGGCTGGATAACAGAAGGCGGGTTCTCAGACCACAGGCTGACCGGTTTGGATACTGGCAGGATGGTACTGGTTGGAAAGAATTTTTGCTTCTTTTTGGTTTTTGTTACTGGAGCACTGCAAGTAAGCGCAGGTCTGTAAACGGAGGGCAGCTTCTACAGAGGACTTCTTTACAAGGTTAAAGGCAGGATAGGTGCAGCGAGTGGGAACAGGGGACTGACATGTGGTAGATAGCAGGGTATACTGGGCTGTCACTGGGGGGGGTGCTGTGGGAAATGGAGGAAGAGAGCTTTGAGCAGAGGAATGATTAGAAGCAGGACTGGGTTGTTGCAAAGCTGACTGAGGCTGGGTGTAACAAATCTGACCATGACTGTAGTATTGGTTGAACAAAGCTCAGCTTACACAAAGCCTGTCTGACCAAAGACTGCACTGTGTTTCTACAATCCACTAGCACCTGTTGTGAACATGCTGAATAATGCTCCAAGAAGTAATCTGCATTATCCTCCAATAACCATACCAGTGACTCTACTTGGTCTGCACTAAATGGCGGCAAAAAGTCATCCCTGCTTTCAGGGGTACTAGATGAAGCCAACTCTGCACAAGCCTGAATCAATGGTTGCACCTCAGAGAACTCTGTGCCTGGATCTACTAGGCAATGATCGACCCGTATGCATTCTAGCAGCTGATCCCTGGCATACTCCTTCAGAGTCTGATAGGCATAATCTCTGTCATCTAAGACTAGCAAATACAAGTACACAACCTCCTCAGGATGCATCCTTCCCAACAACAAGCCAAGATGGCTTCCCTGTGCAGCCACTTCTGGTCAGGACTGGCCTTGGTGTAATGTCAGGGCTCCGGGTATGACCAGAGGTGTGTGGACCAACACAGGGATACACAGACTTCAGGTATAGCGTGTAAAAAATATAATTTATTAAGGGCAACACAAACATAAATGCAGTGCAACAAACCAAACCCAAAACTAACACAAATACGTACAACAAAGTGCAACAAACCCAAACCTTAACTGATATGTATATATATATAAATATGGAGCACAACGTAGTCAGGCGGGCCGGGTCGGTAGCTAACGGGCAGACAAGGTACAAGGAGTAGGCAGAAGATTGGTCAGGAGTAGCCGAGGTCGGTGCAGGCAGAGTTCAAGCAGAGTCAGGATCAAGCAGAGTCAGGATCAGGCAGGAAGCAGACAGGATGCAGGTACAAGGGCTCATGGGAACAATACACCAAGGCCCTGACTGCAGGCCTGGCCAATCCTTAAATACACCTCCTGCAATCAGCCTCAGGTAATGGCTTGATTGCAGGAGTGAGCTTCTGGCTGCTGAGAGCACCCGCTGGCCAGCCATGGTACTGCAGCCCACAAGGCAGGTGAATCCCACCACCATTGGCAAGTCCATTCCTGACAGATGCGTCTTCCAGCATGACAATGACCCAAAACATATCACCAAGACAACAAAGGAGTGGCTAAAGAAGAAGCACATTAAGGTCATTTTTTTCTATTGGGCGCTGTGTTATTTCAACTGATAATTGCACAGTCATGCAACGATGTACACAAACAAAATTTGTGTCCATTTTTTCACACAAATAGAGCTTTTTTTAATTTTTATTTGAGCATCAATGGGATTTTTAGTTTTTTTTTGTGATATAAATGAAAAAAGGCCGAAAATGTGTGGAAAAAATTACATTTTCTGTAAAAAATATCTAGTACACTCTAATTTTGTCATAAATTTAGGCCAAAATATATTCTGCTACATGTCTTTGTTAAAAAATCCAAATAAGTGTATATAATTGGTTTGTGTGAAATTTATGGTGTCTACAAAACATTGTATAGATGCTGGAATTTATGCAGATTTTACTTTCTGACTGTCTATCACAATTCCTGAGGTGCTAAAGTGCCAGGGCAGTACAAACACCACTGAAATGACCCCTTTTCGAAAAGTAGACACCCTAAGCTATTTGCTGAGAGGCATGTTGAGTCCATGGAAGATTTTTTTCTTCCACAAGTTTTTGAAAATGACAAAAAAAAAACTTTTTTTTACACAAAGTTGTCATTTAAATGGTATTTTGCTCACACATGCCATGGGTATATTTGGAATTACACTTCAAAATATATTCTGCTACATCTTCCGAGTATGGGGATACCACACGTGTGAGACTTTTTGGGAGCCTAGCCGCATACAGGAGCCCGAAATCCAATGACCCCCTTGAAAGCCCGAAGGTGCGGAAATTCCTAGTTTCACTTTCTCACTATCTATCACAATTTCAGAGGCTCTGAAATTCCAGGATAGCATAAACCAAACGTTTTTGGAAAATGCCAATTTTTTTTTTTTTTTTTTTTTACGCAAAGTTGTCACTTAAATTATATATTGCTCACACATACCATGGGTATTTGTGGAATTACACCCCAAAATATATTCTGGTTCTTCTCTCAAGTATGAGGATACCATATGTGTGAGACTTTTTGGAAGCCTAGCCTCATACAGGAGCTCCAAATCAAATAACCCTTTAAAAGCCTAAAGGTGCGTAATTTCCTCATTTCACTTTCTCACTACCTATCACAGCTTTAGAGACCCTGAAATGCCAATTGTTTGGTAAGATATAAAATATGATGTTATGCCAAGTAAATAGATACCAAACATGACATGTTTTAAAACTGCGCACGTCCTGTGCAATGGCGACAAACTGCATACATTTTTAATATTCATAGACGACGCTTTAAAAGCCTTTACAGGCTACCACTTTAGATTTACACAGGAGGTCTAGTACTATAATTACTGCCCTCAATCTGATGTTCACAGCGATACCTCACATGCATGGTGCAACTGCTGTTTACATACCAACATGGGGCCGAAGCTTGCGTACACCATTGAGCATGAGCGTGGAGGGACGAGGGTGCTTTACATTTTTTTTAAATTATATATTTTGATTTTTTTTATTCTTACACCATCCCCTTTTTTTTTTTAGCACTTTTATTGTTATCACAGGGAATTTATATATCCACTGTGATAACAATAGGCAGTGACAGGTATTCTTTTCTGAGAATTAGCCACTAGGACTGCTTTTACATGAAGGCTGATCACCAGCTGAAAATAAAACGATACCAGGATGATGCCTGTAACTACAGGCATCATCCTGGCATAACCACTCAGAGTTCAGTGCTGTACCAGTATGTCGCTGTTCCTTGTTGGGAATATATGTTGTTCTTTTTTTTTATTATTCAATCTGTGGGCTCAATGAAAAAAGAGAAGAAATATCTGCCAGAAAAAGTGTGTGGTAAGCCTACCATTAGAATATACCACCCTACATCCACCTACTTCTAATGTTGTGCATACATAAAATGTTCTTTTTTTTCGTTCAGCCCGTCAGATCCTCTATTCACAATGATCAATGTGGATGAAAAAATCTCTGCCAGAAATGTTTTTTAAAAATGTATGCTGAAGCATAGGAGCAATCTAGCCACTGACCACCCAGGCCCTCATGCTTGGGCATATATGTTCTTTTTTTTTTAACTGCAGATGAAACATCTCATCCAGGAGCACTGCACTCACTGACATATATTCTGAGAGCACACCCTGTTGCTGTCAGAATAAAAAGATCAGTGCTGCAGCTGAACGGCCTTCCTGCAAAGAAAACAACAATTAACAATAAAACACAGTAACAATAGAACATTAACTCAATAAAACAACAATGTTTTATTAAAATCTGTGCCAAAAAATATGAAAAAAATATATATGCCTAAGCGTAGGAGTGATCCACCCACTGACCGCACCAGACCCCTATGCTTCAGCATACATATTCTTTTTTAACTGCGGATGATAAATGTCATCCAGCAGTGCTGCACGCACTGACGTGTATTCTGAGAGCATACCCTGTTGCTATATGAATAAACAAATTGGTTCTGCAGCTGAATGGCATTCCTACAAAGAAAACAACAATGGTTATCAATAAAACACAGTAATAAAAACATTAACTCAATAAAAACCAATTTTTGGCTTTTTAATTTTTTTTTTTTATTTTTTTTTTTTTTGGTTTTTTTTTTTTTTTTTATTTAATTTTTTTTTTTTTACTTTTTGTTTGGTTCCTCACTACCTTTCGAGACACTCTTTGAAATTTTAGGAAGTTTTTGATTTTGTAAAGCACAAAAGTGTTGCAGAGCCAATTGAAATAAATATACAGACATTTTTTTTGTACCAGCATCTGGCTTTATGGGAAACTAAGCACAGCTTCATCATCAGGTCGTTGAAGTCCACCCCTCCCATGTTAAGGTTATAATCATGGACACAGGGGGGCTTCACAACAACATCAGCTGCCTTAGAAATTTGAACCATCTTGTCTGCGTGAATGAAAGACAGGATGAAAACATCCACTGTGATCTTACACTTCACTGTGAGCAATTCATCATTTTTCAAGCAGGTTTTCTCCCTCTTTCTTAGTCGGGTATTTACAAGCCATTGGGGGAAGCCCTGGCGATTAGGTTGCAAGGTGCCGCATGAGCCAATTCCAAGATTATACAAATGTCTAAATAGCGGTACGCTTCTATAAAAATTGTCCACATATAAGTGGTGCCCCCATATGGAAAATGGGTGACATCAAGTCCCAAACCATCTTACCACTGCTTCCCATGTAGTTTTGGCATGTGGGGGGCTCCACATGACTATCTTTTCCCTCGTAAACCTGAAAATTATATGTATAGCCTGTTGCCCTCTCACAGGTCTTATACATTTGACCCATATTTGGCACTCTTGCTGGGGAGAAACTGAATGCAAGATTGCCAGAAAAATGACTAAAGGACTCATCAATGCAGATGTTTTGCTGTAGAATATAAACATCAGCAAATTTCTGGTTAAGGTGATTTACAAGGAGCCAAATTTTGTCATATTCAGGGCCACTCCAAGGACGACAGAGTGTATTGTCGTTGAAGTGAATAAATC